TCTACAAGACTAATTATTATAGAACTAAATTCTTAAAGAGCATTCCCCCTTTAAATAGGAATCAAAGGTAGCAAAAACAAAAACACTGGGCTCAAAGAGTTTTAGAGGAAAGCTTAATGATACATAAACTATTCCAGCACATAGAAAGCAGGAAAACGTCTATACATCTACTATGTATCTACTTTGGATAATATTTAAAATATCCCCAAATACTTTTTCTGTACTGACCAGAAAAATATAAGAGAATGTAATAGTCACTACAACCTCACTGTGAGTGCTTCATTTTACGACCGTGGTTCCCATCGTGCAGTATGCTTGCTTCACTGACATGCATAAGGCCGGTGTGCCTTTCCAAGAAGCAAAGAAGGTATGTGCTTGTGGTTTGGCTGATCACAGACTGGGTTGCATCCAATTGGGAGATATAAAGACATACATAACTTTAAAAAAAATCTCCCTCACCAAAGGATTCTCTCTGATCACAAACATGCTGACACAATCATGGTTCTGTGGGAAGACACGTTCCTCTTGGCTCTGTGGGAAGAAGAGGTGGCAGCCTGTTTCTGTACAGATTATACCCTTGTGGAGAGGTTCAAATACACCCAGCAGTAGCATAAGAGAAAATCCTGGAGATGGGCTTCCATAACACAACCTCAAATCTCTCCCACCAGAATTTTGAGACCATCTTGGAAACAGTTGATGCATTGACCGCTAATGACAAGACCTGAGGAGTGATGGGTGGACATCATTCAAGAAGAAGGCAAAGCGTCATTAAAAGAACAGGAAAGAAAGAAAGAAAAGGTCAAAGTGATGTCAGAAGAGACTGAAACTTGCTCTTAATCATAGAGTAGCTAAAGCGCATAAAAGAAATGATGATGATCGAGGATTGTAGCCTTCAGTATGGATTCCAACTCAATGTAAGGAAGACCAAAATCCTCCCATCTAGACCAACAGGTAACATCCTGATAAATGGAGAAAAGACTGAAGATGTCAAGGATTTTATCTTGCTTGGATCTACAGTCAATGCTCATGGAAGCAGCAGTCAAGAGATCAAAAGATGTATTGAGTTAGGTAAATCTGTTGCTGAAGACCTCTTTAGAGTATTGAAGAGCAAGGACATTACTTTGAGGACTAAGGTGCGCCTGACCAAAGCCATAGTAGTCTCCGTTGCATCACATCCATGTGAAAGTTGGACACAGAATAAGGAACCATAGAAGAATTGACGCATTTGAATTGTGGTGCTGGAGAACAAACATTGAAAATACCATGGATTGCTAAATGGACAAATCCATCTCAATTGGAAGAAGTATAGTCAGAGCACTCCTTAGAGACAAGGATGGCAAGACTTCACCTTACATGCTTTGGGCATATTGTCAAGAGATATCAGTCCTCGGAGAAGGATGTCATGCTTGGTAAAGTGGAAGGGCAACGAAAGAGAGGAAGATCCTGGAGGAGATGGACTGGATGAATGGGCTCAGGCAGAGGAACACTTCTGAGTGTAGGACGGTGCAATGTTTCATTCAGTTGTGGACAGGATCACTATGGACCAGAGCCGATTGGATGGCATCTCACAACAACACAGTAGAAACACGTGGGGGTCAAGTCTCTGCAACTCCCACCAAACGATTGGCTGGGGACTATGCAAACAAGGCATCTTTTTGTCACCACCCCCTGGCTCTCAGGATGAGCCATCTTTGAAGCAGGAGCAGAGAGGAGGGAGACCTCGAGGTCCTTGGAAGAGCAAGTTCAAGATCTCTGCCTGAAGTGGCAGAGGCTGCCAGGAGCAGATGCCTCACCAACAGTGGCTCAGAGACTCAAAGGAGCAGCTTGGAGACGACAGGGTACCTTCCCCTACCTGGCCTGAGACTATGGGACTGTGGGACAGAGTGACAGGTGGGCTGGCTTCCTGATCAGCCTGTAACTGAGAACCCAACAACCGGAGAGAGACTTGGCTGCTGGCTGAGGAGACCAGTGACTGTATCCTTCGTGTTTATTAATCCTGATTTGTAATCTATTAACTTCCCTAATAAACCCCCTCAATTGTTAAAAACAGAACAAAACACAACACATGAGTGCTCAATATTATTTTCAATCAACTAGATGGCAAAGGATATGTCTTTATTGTGATTTTTTTTTTGCTTTAGAGAGATGTTTCTTAAAAATCGTCTTGATTTTACTCGTTTTGACATAAACTTTGGTCAAACAATCGAATATGGCCCAATGCATTGCTGTCTTTGAATAAAACAGAGAAAGCTTACTTCTTTATATTATAATTTTTTAAAATTATGACTATTTAACTTTACTTATGTAATTAGTTGCAAAATTAATTGTAAAAAATTTTATAAACCAGTTTTAAATTTATTTATTAGTCTACCAGCCACTGCTGATTGATTACTGGTCTCAGTGCCCAAAGTGAATGGAAAATAACATAAAGAGCTGTTTATACCCCGTCCCCACCAAACTTAATTTCCAATGATCAAAAATGGCTTAAAGAGAAAATGTGTCGTAGATTTCATTTAGATTTTTGTGTGAGGTTCTGGGCTCATTTTGGTCTTTGACATCTGTGTTCTGGGAAGTTGGTGATCTTAACAATGAACTAAGTCTTCCCATGAATCAAGCTAGTTCTTGAAGGTTAATCTGCAATTTATGTATTTATTTTTGCAGAAGGTTAACTCTTGGCTGAATGGAAGATGCATTCCTAAGGTGTTGATTCGGCAGCCCTCTCTCATTAGTGCTGTATTCGCTCATTCTGTCGCAGGAGATTGAAGACCTGTTTCAGCATATTCACCTAGACACATATATCCGGCCCTTTTTCACAAAGCCCGATACCATTTTATAACTAGAGAAACTGAGTTACCGGAAAGCGAGTATTTCTCTCATAAGAAATAAATAACAAATCCCAAACTCTTGCCAGGAATTTCCCCTCCACTGAGAAAGTACATGGTTTTCAGCATCCAGTTCCTTCTTAAATGACAAATTGTCTTTCAGATCCCTGTGGATCTGCACAAGGGGGCAGCTTTTAATTCTTAACCTGTTGGAGTTCTCATCCCCTCACGTGTTTGCATGTGTAGGGTTTTTTCTTTTTCACTGTATTCTTAGTAGCAAATTGAAGTTGTCCATTCCTGTTGTAACAGGATAAACAGGTTTTCTTTTATATATTGAGGTCTTTAAATCTCATTCTAAATTGTCTTCTACCTAATATTTGAGGCTGGCTCTTTGGCAAACTACAAAACTGTTTACCTTGGGGTTTTATGGGCCTTTGACTCTAAGAGGCGGCAACTTCCCAACCCTGGTAGGTCCCCAGTTACTGGAAGGAAGGTCACTGTTTCGTGCTTTTTGCTTTATTTTTTTCTCACTATGAGGAAGGACATCATGTGAAATGAAAGAGGAACGTGTATCTCAGATGGGAATGGGTGTAGACTGAGACAAGTGAACTCCAAAATCAAACAGAAGAAGAAGAAAAAGGGAAGTCTGGGGCAACGATTGTGTCTGATTGTTATTTTTAGTGGGGGAGAGCGGGAGAGAGCTGGGATGAGAAAAAGCCAACTCTTGGGAAGAACAGAGTCATTCATGATGCTTCCTTGTTTCACTGTTGGTTTGATGCGGGGGTTCAGAATGAGCGCTCCTTTTGTTGCATTCTGGTCTCAGTGGCCCTGTCCAGCTTCGTGTGCCCCTCCTTGCTGGTCTCAAAATGAACTGGAAGAGAGAGTGCTCAGAGACTGCCCTCGGGGCTCACGTGTGAAAACAGATCTCTCCAATCAAGATTCCATGGGCTGGGAGCACCTGGCATTCAGAAGGAATCTTGTCCCTGGAGAGCATAACTGGTTGGTCCTTCGGTTGGCGCAATGGTTATGGATTCAGCAACAAGAGCACCAAACACCACTGGCAATCGGCTCCGTAAAGATTACAGTCTGAGATAACCCTATGGGGCAGTTTTACTCTGTCATCTAGGGAGTCACCTCAGCAGGACACCGCAGCAACAACAATAAGAAGACCAAAGGTGGGTGGTTCAAAACTAGCCAACAGTAGCACAGAGAAATGCCTGGTATCTGTTAGCCCGCTCACCACACCTGCATGGATTGGCTATGAGTCCGAAGGGATTCGATGCCCACAGGTGTTTGGGTCCATCTACCATATGCCAGGGCCTGTGCCTTTCGTCGGGGGCTCTGGTGGCAGAGCAGCTTATGCCCTGAGCTGCTAACCATGATGTCAGCAGATTGAGCCCACCGGCCTCTCTGGGAGAGAGCGGAGAGGAACGTCTCCAAACCACAAAGGAGCAGTCTGCCCTGCCCTGCAGGGTTGCAGTGTGTGCCATCGACTCAGGGGCAATGCGTTGGGTTGGGTTTGTCACCTTTCACGACGAAGTGTCTGCAAAAGGACCGGAGGACAAAGAGGCCTCGCCCTTCACAAAGGGGGCTTGAGAAAGGGCAGACCTCCGGGTCCTGGTGGAAAAGCAGTTTTCCTTGATGACTTGCCCTCACTTTCCAGAAGCTAGGTGAATACGCTCACAGACCAATACGTGGGCACTGGCAGAATTGCGTGCCTGTAAAACAAAAAAGCCTCACACAGGTCTGGACCCACGTGGGAGCCCCGGAGAGGCTGCATCGGGAGGAATCACAGTTTGTATTCCAGAGCCACGGAGCCTGGGGCGAGAGACTGAAGGGACACCACACTGAACAAACACACGGAAACATGGGTGATCATCCCACAAATACATGGATTTTTATTGACAAGTGTTTTCCTGACAGTAATAAATAGAATGGAATGTTCTTCAGGGCTGGTTTGCAAGCTGCAAGGCCATGGCGGCCCTCCTAGCAATCAGAGTGTATGAGCATCATCCCCAGACTGCACCTCAGAGGGAAGCTGCTGCTACAGGCCTGTGTAGCATGGGCAGCACTCCCGGGCTTCTGGTCACCTCAGAAAGGCAATTCAGGGCCCTTGGCCAAGAGCACCCTTAGGCCCCCCCCCCACCCCACCCTAGTTTTAACAGAAGGTAATGTATCATAAAATATACCTAGTGCCATCAAATGTCAACATTTCAAAATATAAAAATTCTCTTATACAAATAGAATCCATAAAATGATCATTCTTCAAATACAGAAATGTTACATGCGAGTCTGAAACATTATTAAAATAAATAACATTTCCTAGAGAAAATTTCATTTGTATCATAAAAATTCCCTAACAGGAGCATATAAAACAAGTTTATTCCGTTTGGACTCTTCCTGAAGGATGTCTTCTCGCTCCCATTCAGCACAGACAGTCTGAGGCTTTCCTAGGGAGCCTGAAGCCAAAGAGCGCCCTGGACCGTGATCCTGTTCGTTGGTTGGTTTGCTTGTTTTAGCCTCTGTCTCCTGCATGGGACTGTAACAGCCCCCTGCAAGGGGCGTGGCTTGATTATCTGAATGACTTGGATCACTGTTAGAGCTGTAGGTCCTGATCCCAATTTCCAGAGTCTGAAGATTCCCTTCCCCTACTAGATACAGAGTAAGGCATACTTTGGTGAACTCTCTTGCAACGCTCACCGTATTCCAACACTGGCTTAACAGACACCTTGGTTGTGCTTCTAAAGATCTTGGGGCTGCAAGTTACTGGCTGCAAATATCTTGGTGGAAGAAGAGATAAGTGGGAATATAAATGGAAATAAACTGCTAAAGTTTCCAGTTACCAACATTTCAACGTCTAAGTCATATGGTTTCTGTCTGTCTCCAATTGTACAAATGATCGCATTTCCCCACGCTATTAAGCTGCTTGACGTGTAGCCACCTTCCAATTACAGAACCAATGGGCGAGACCTTGCAGAGACCTTGCGGCTTGTGTAACATGAACGGGAAACCTCCACGAGCTTGAGGTTACCTGTCACACAAGCTGACCAGTGTCAGGAAGCCATGAATCCAGACCCCGATGAATGTCCTTACTTCCTCCTAATTTTCCCTTTTCTGAAACATTATTGATCCTTGTTCTGTGAGGCATCCGCCAGCGTTCTTGCCCTGGACTCCATAAGGGACGTGCCCCAGGCCAACAGTGGCCTGTTCTCTAGAGCCGCGTTTCTTGCACCTCTTCTTCCGTCTCCTCCGTCAGAGCGGCGATTTTGGACCGAGACTTGTATTTGCTGGAGTTTCTGTGTGGGAAGAGCTTCAGACGATCCGAGGGGCTGATGGCCTGCCGGAAGAGGCTCTTCTCGCTCAGCAGCTTCTGGATGGAATCGTACTGCCGCACTTTGTTCTCCTCTATGACCTAGGGAAGTGGCCTCATTAGTAAGATATCGGATATGAGGCAGGTTACATCAGAGCAGGGGCAGGAAGAGGCTCAAAGGAAAGCAAAGGCAGTAAGACAGCAGGGTCCAAAGGCTGGCCTTTCGAACAGTTAAGCATTTTACATCTCATTGCTACGTCCTCACGCTCGAGAGAGGATCTACCATATGGTAAGTGCCTTGGTGGTGCCGATGGTTAAATGTGCTTGGCTGTTAACAGAAAGGCTGGAAGTTCAAGTCTAACCAGGTGCTCCCCCCAAAGAAGGGTCTTCCAGAAACTCAGTCAGCGAGAGCCCAGGGGAACACAGCTCTCCTCTGGCAGTAATGGAGTCAAAGTCAACTGGAGGACGGGCTGCTTAAGCCCTGTGTCAAATGAGCTGTCTGTGCTGTTCTACTGAGCAGCCAGAAGTGGGTTTGTTTTCTTTTTTCAAAGAGGACACTGGATGAGAAGCCCTGGTGGTACAATGATTAAGCCCTCAACTGCTAACCAAAAGGTGGGTAGTTTGAATTTACCCAGGGGCTCTGCAGGATAGAGATCCAGTGCTCTATTTCCATAAATATTAGCCTAGACCACCCTCTGGGGCGCTTCTACTCTGTCTGATTGGGTAGTTAGGCATTGGAATCAACTAAATGGAAGCCAACAGCAGGGCCAGCACAGGGTTTGATAAGGCACTTCTTTAGAGGAGCACCAGGAGCCTCTAACCCACCGATGACCTGTATGAAATCCCTTACAGCTTACAGAACGAATGAACCTTACAACAATTGATCTGAACCCTGACAATTCCACATAGATGTGTTTCATATGCTACCTCCACATGTGCAAATGGAGCAAAGCCACACGGCCAGAGGACAGAAGGGCTCTGGTCAACCCTCCTGAACCCACCTGTGGCAGGGCAAGAGGTTGCGAGCCTGTCCCCTAATTGGTCCCGTGAAGCTCAGCAACAATGATGGGAACAATAATCTTTCAATGAGGAAGACATTTGCTTCCAGGAGGCTCAAAAGATTTAGCAGAAATGACGGGATGGAGTAGCCTTAGAACGTTGTGACTAAACCCGAGGGAACGTGTAAACATCACTGGAAGGGATTTGCCACAGTTCTATACACACAATGAGAAGGTGCTTGAGAGAGGCATAACTTGAGCTCCCGATGATGAATAAAGGAAACAATGTGGACCTTTCAACCACTGCCTCTAACCCCATCCTTCAGAGCACAGGAAAACCCCTGCCTGTCCTAGATGCCACCCACACAAAAGGGAGTTAGCTACGGAACTTGCTATTTGTTTTAAGTAGCAACATCTGACTTCTAACGTAGCATCTATACCCAAATAAAAGGCTCAAAAGTACAGATGTCCCCATAGATTAATGTTGTCTGGAAATATGTTGCAGTCTTTTGGAGTCACTTCATTCTAATCTAAACCCATGGCTCAGCAAATCAAGAACCTTGCATCGCGATGCTGAGTAAGCTGGAAGGCAATAGGATGCAGAATTTAAGGAAGCGCGTTACAGGGCAACGGTTTGCAGGAGGGGTCAGAGTTGATACTGTTAAGAAGAGTCAAGGAGAAAATCCAATTTTAAGTGAATTACACTCACCAAAAAGCGCTGACATTCCAACATCGCTTCTATCCTGTGCTCACAGAGGATGACTGTGCAATCAGCAAATGCTTGTTTTAGAGTTCTTCGGATGATTTGGTATGTTCTAGAAAAGGAAGTTCCCGTAAAACGTTAGGCAGCATCCATAGCCTGCCTTTATCACTGGATACCTGCCCATTCTTTTGTCAGTTCCATTCTTTACAGTTTTCTCCTTCTTTAAGTACTTGTATCATAATGGTGACAGAAGGAGCCCCAATTAACTTTCCAATCTGGGGTACATTCTAAGTTTCCATAATTGCACTGAATAATGGTTTTGAAGAAAATCAGGCAGGTGAGTACATTTTTTCAATTATCAGGAAGCACTTGACAATCTTTATTTTATGCTAAAAATATTCCATATGATACAAATGGAATACAATGGAAAATCCTAAGTATCCAATTACACCCCTGGACTCCACGTTGACAAGAGGTGTTAGGTGCCTGTGTGAGATTCTAAAATGATGCTCGTCAGAGAACACAGGGCTTTTAGTCTAGGACATAAGCCCTTGTGCAGCCATCAATCGGGACTTTTTCACTTGGCAATTATTTCATTCCTGGAGGGGCTCCTCCACTTGCAGACAGCCTAATGGGAATATATGTCCATAGAGAGTAGGCCCCATTGTCCCGCTCCCACTGAACGGTTAACTAGCCAAATTCTGAAACTCACATGGGATCCAAATGAGCACTGGGTTCATCAAGCAGCAAGATCTTCGCCTTACTGAGCACAGATCTGGCCAAGCACATCAGCTGCTTGTGGCCATGGCTTAAGACACAGCCCCCGTCCACAAGGGCAAAATCAAGCTTCCCAGGGAACTGCTCTATCACGTTTCTGAGTCCAACCTGCAGAAAAGAAAAGAAGGAGCACTGTGCTTAGAGCCAGGAGTTTAAGGACATGGAGGTAAGGATGCCCAATCAGTGTGTGTGTGTGGGTGGGGGGGGGCGGGCGGGAGCGGGGAGGAGTTGAAAACATCAGTGTTCTGAGACTACATTTCATATCAGCCCCACCTCCCCTTATTTGGGCTCAGTTGGGCAAACATCTGTTTCTCATCTAGGCAGCACCCAAGGAAACATCTACGGCTTGTTTCAGTTCTGTACTTCACTCATTCTGGAACGTTCAGGGAGGGCCTTTTAGGTGCCAAGCTCTTTAACTGGTACAGAAAGCAGCTAATCCCATGAGGCTCATAGACTGGCTAGGAAGGAAATAATCGGGAAATTACTGTTTATTTGAGGTGCTATGACTTGGTGCCGAGGTGGGGAGGGATTAAAATGGATATCTTTATAGAGATCATCCAATTTGGTGATCTTTACCAGCCGAATCATTTATTTAAATTATATATTCTACATATAAGAATATGTGTAACACACCCAAATATCTATATATCACCTATCCCAATGTAATATTCCTTATAGAATCATATCATCACAACCCATTTTACCAACAGATTAAAAACAAATGCTAACTTTAAATCCGCCCTGTCCAAAGGAAGGTGAATTCAAAAGTTGTTGGGATCTTCACCTCTCACTCTAACCCACCAATACAACGTTTTTCTTTTACAGCAATGCACTGATAGTTTGTGATTGTAAAGAGTTGCTTTAATGACCCAATGAATGGCTAGCTTTATGCTACTGAGTTCACACTGGTGAATGCTCCTATTTACCAAGCAGGAGTCTTGTTTTGCGGTGGATCAAACGACATGTTGATAGTTTGTAAAGTATCAGGCAGTTTTCTACAAAATGTTGACTTTAGCTATTGCTGAATTTTGAAAAGTTACTATGGAGCAAGAGTTTGCTCTTATGATGGGGAAACGTGAAAAAGAAAGAGAGAGAGAGAGAGAGAGAGAGATCAGAAGGGGGATCATGGTTGGATTGGAGGGTCCATTAGTGCCGGTTGTAAAAATAAACACGTGGACACCTTTTGGTACTCATCTGGCCACCTTGAAGGTGTTCCCGGGCAACTCCTCAACTTCAAAAGCCCTTCCTTTGATGTTGAGCTTGCTCTCTAGCCCAACTTACCTGGCTGTCGGTGGATGTATGTGGAAGGATGGAAACTATGCTAGAAGACGTCATCTGAAAAGCAAACAATGATCCCCCAAAAGCCCGTGTTCTAAATCCAATAGATGGGGTGCTTTGATTCTGGGTCGCACTGGGGCAATAACCTGTGAACAGGAAGTCAGGTATGCTGCCCTGTTCCAGCATCTACTAGCAACAAGTGGATTCTTGTGGCTCTGATTCCTCCTCCAAAAAGAGGGAGGGAATGTCCGTCGTGTTCTAGCCACAGGGTTGTTTGGATGATGGAATGCCCTTGACCAATGTTTTGTCCATGAAAGGAGCATTTACTTATTCTTTCATTCAATCAGCATTGAACACTACAGGTGCCCCATACTACTTGGTAGTGGAGATTGTACGCTGTTGCGTTGATTCTAACTACGAGGAGACCCCATAGGACTTCCTAGGCTGGAATCTTTCAGGGAGGGCACCCTACTAATGTAGCAGTTGAGTCCCTGAGCAGCTGTTACATGAAAGCTTAGTGGTTCACCCCCATCAGATGGTGTGGAGGGAATACACAGCAGCCTGTTTGTGTAGACCAGGGGTCCTCAAACTTTTTAAACAGGGGGCCAGTTCACTGTCCCTCAAACCCATTGGAGACAATACTTAAAAAAAAAACAACAAAAAACTATGAACAAATTCTTGTGCACACTGCACTTATCTTATTTTGAAGTGAAAAAATAAATGGGCAAAAACACCCGGTGGGCCAGATAAATGTCCTCAGCGGGCCGCATGTGGCCTGCGGGCCGTGGTTTAAAGATACCTGGTAGACTATAGCTCTGTAAACCCTAGGGGACAGGCCTACTGTGAGTGGTCCCCGACTTGGCAGCAACAGGTTTGGTTAGTTTTAACATAAATAGATCATCATGTCTCTTCTGCTGAGCCACCGGTGGGTTCCAGTCAGAGAGAGACCTTCAGGTTGGGAGCCAATCACTTAACCACCGTCCTATCAGGGCTCCTTAACACTATTCTAGGCAGTGGAAATACAACAACGAGTAGGACATGATCCCTGCCCTCAAGGAACTTACAATCCGGGGGAGGGGGGCACACAAATCAGTCATAAATTTCTATCCCATGCTATAAAAGGGTGGCAGTATAGGGACCACTGAGGAAGGGTCCTTCCCTTCCTGGACATCAGAGTAGGTTTCCTGGAAGAAAGGACGATCAAAGAGAAGTTTGGACGGTGAGCAGGAGCGGGCAGTGAGTGGCTGATGGAAGTGGTCTAGGTACATGTGAAAACACCTGGGATCACACAAAATAAATGCCATGTGGTTAGACGATGGGAAGTTGGACAGGGGAAGAAGTCTGTTTAGCGAGCTTTGGGCAAAGCCCAAATGGTGAAGAAGTTTGTAAGTCCCTTTAAGGAGTGTGGTTGGTCTTTGTCCAGAGGGCAATCAGAAGTTCAGAAACAAGCTATTGGGGTTGCCATCAAAGAAGAGCAACAGAATGAACTTTAAGGAGCCGACGAGAAGAAAACCAGCTAGAAGGCTGTTTTAGGAGAGGGACAAAGAAGAGTCTATACGGTCTAGATATTTGTGAGAGGTGAAAAGATAGGAATTTGTCATGTGAGTGCCAATGGGGAATTTGAGAATTAACAATGAGTCCCAGGTCTCTGCTCTGAGTAACTGTAGGGTAATGAAGCCAATCACTGAGATAAGGAATACAGAACAGGTGTGTGAGTGAGCCAGATAAGAAACACTTGCTTATCCACGCTGAAATGTCTATCAGACCGCGGAACAAGTGTGGAGCTCTGGGGCCAGGCAAACTTGGGAGTCTCCAACATAGAAGTCTCTACAGAGCTACGGAGACGTCTGACAATTTCCAGGAAGAGTAAGTAAAAGGAGGCCAGAATTGAAGTTCTGTGAAAACATCTAAGACATGGCCAAATAAGGCCCAGAGAGAAGCAAGATCACAATAGCTAACATTTATTTACTTAGCATCTATTATTTGGCCGTCACTACACTACGCCATTGTACATAAAAGGCCTGACGCTTACAATAACTCTATGACATTATTAGGTGCTTAAGGTCTGTTTTTATGTTTTCCATGGATTTCTGTCTCTTTGGGGATTCTCTATGGTGTAAGCACTTCATAAAGTCAAGTTAGCACTGTTCCTAGGGCAAAGAGCTCTCTAAAGGTGGGTGATTTTAGGATGGGGAAGTAAGACCACAAGACTTCTAGGCCTTTCTCACCCTTGCAATTGCTTAATTTGTCCACAATGTGATGAGGCCCAGGGAGCCATGATGAAGCTATGTGTCTAGAGTGCCTACAGAAGGGAGAATTCTGGGGCCAGCCTGGGTTCTAAGCCTGAGAGTTTGTTGCTAGCCTCAAGGCCTCGTGGCTTTATGACTTTTAGTCCAGATCAGGATAAGGGGGCTTGGGGCCAAAGTTTAAGCAAAGAAGAGTGTCTCTTGGCTTGGCATTTTTGCTTTCTATTTTCATTTTGGGAGAGGGTGATTTATGCAGGAGGTGCGTAGGGGGAGAATTCAGGTGCTTGGCTTTCTACCTCTCCTCAATTTCATCGCACTCTTGAGACCTGATTCACACTAAAGTTACACAGAGGACGAGGGTAAGAGCACAATCATCCTTGCTTGTCTTGGACAGTACTGATTTACACCTTTCGTCCCAGAAACCTTTTAAATGTAGAGTCTACACACTTGACAGTCTTCCAGTTTGGAAAATAAATGAGGTGATCAGTAATAAAAGAATAAAAAGTAAGCCCATGGAGCCCTGGGGTGCTAAGGGTAAATGGTCAGCAGCTAACCTCAAGGTCAGTAGTTTAAACCCACTAGCCTCTCTGCGGGAGGAAGATGAGGCTGTCTGCTCTCCTGTTCAGAGTTATGGCCTGTGTAGCGTCCCTTGAGTGGAATTTATTCAATGGCAGCGGGGAGAAAACTTCCAGACCTAAGGAATTTTAAGCCCACGTCTTTTCTGCTTCTTTAGGAAGTTTGTTGAATGGTGGATGGGCCTGGTACTCTGGGTTTTCTTCAACAAAATTGATCACTACTGTTCAGAGTACACAGCAATATGTTAGGGCAGTATCCCGCCTCCACAGGAGCAGCAATTACTAACGAGGATCAGTAAAAAGACGTACCTACTACTGAAATGATCAAACAAAAATCTACACAGGTACAATTTTTACATTATATTGGCATTTAAAATCTTAAATAGGTCTTGTCAGAATATTTGCATGTCCCCGTTTCCCTGGACACATGCTGTGGTTTGGCAATACCTATAGATTTTATAAAGTTTGATGTGTTTTCCATCCCGAGGTCCCCCCTCCCCATCCCCATTGTGTCTCCTCGTGCATTCCCTACTGCCCCATCAAAGGTCTTCGCATGTGTTCCCTGCAATTTAGTTAAATGGTTTTTTTTTAAGTTCCTGTGCTGGTTTGGTAATAGGAAACTTTGGTAATGACAACAGTTAATGTGCAGGCATTTTATTAGAGGCATGTTAGGGTTGAGCACTCAACGGGTAAGTGTTTAACACTCACAGGTATTTCATAGCTGGCAAGGCTCATTCTGAAAGGATGCAGAAAATGAAGGCGCATTCGGGATCAACAGAATTGCGCTTAAACATGGACCGCAAAGTACAGAAACCGTGGAATGAAGCAGTTCTCTACAAAGACCTTTGAATTACAATGTTCCTAGGCCCCACGATTCTCACCTGCTACCATCCAGAGTTTAGGATTAAAACGCCAAGTTTGATGAATCAGAAGAATTCAGGTTTCATTTTGCTTTAATATAAGCCTACTCATCAAGAATTAATCTTTTACAGGTGAGATATTATTAAGGGAACTAAGAACATCTCCTATACTCTTCTTACCCCCCCAAATTCCTCCATATAAACTCTTGAAATAGAGTAAACTGCCTTTGGGGTAACCGTAGGTGTCACTTAAGAACTATGATTCCATTCTAGTCTGTATATTTCCTGTATGGAGTCCCAAGGACCTCAACAGGTGAAGTGTACCTCATCCAGGTCATATGGTACTTTGCCTGGGTGTAATCTTAGCCACAAGCCCAAAGTCAGCTGATTCCTTGGTCTCAGAGAAGACCATGTGGATCTGAGGGAATTCTCGAATCATCATCCTTCTCGGTTAAACGCATGCTTCTCAAAGGACTAGATCATTTCAAACCCAAATCTCTTCTTTGTGTGGGGACTTTTAGGACCCAGGGAGGAAATAGACAAGACAGTGTAGAGCAGCGGTTCTCAACCTGTGGGTCACGACCCCTTTGGGGGTCAAATGACCCTTTCACAGGGATCACCCGATTTATAACAGTAGCAAAATTACAGTTATGAAGTAGCAATGAAAATAATTGTATGGTTGGGGGCTCACCACAACATGAGGAGCTGTATGAAAGGGTCAAGGCATGAGGACGGTTGAGAACCACCAGTGTAGAGAGATGACTCCTCATATCAAAGATAATCCAGGTATACAATTGGCCCCTTCAGCTACCCTGGTTTATCTGTCAGTGATGCATCTCATTTTGGAAAGTGATCTCTAGGACCTAACAGTTGGAGGGTTCCCACTGGGGAGGTAGTTCTCTCCAAAGTACTGGGAATACAGGTAGATAGGAGTATTCCATTTAAAAGTTGTATACACACACAGACACACACACACACACACTCACACACAAAGATATGCATGTGAAATTCTCAGCTCTGTGTCGAAGGATGTCATGTTTCCAAGTCATTTTAGTTAGCATCCTTACCTGATCTGCAACTTTCCATATTTCTTCATCACTCCACTGTTCATAGGGATCCAAGTTTTTTCTAAATGTTCCAGAAAAGATGAATACTTTCTATAACAATAAGGAAAATAATAATACGGAAAACATGCATAAGTTAAATATCGTTTTATTTTTTTTCATGTATTTTATTATGGAAAATTGCAAACCAAATTTAAAAATATAGCAAACACCCACTTAGTCGCCTTTCAGATTTGTGAATTTTTAATATTTTATCATAATTGCTTTGCCCCAATTTTTAAGAAATATAATGCGTTTTGATTCCTCATCCCTTTAGGATAAAGAAGCTCTAATAATTATAAGTTGTGAGAAAAGTAGGTTTGCTTGTTTTCCCTAGCGATGTCCCTTACAAACAAATCCTCATGAACTCAGTGGCAACAGCAACAACACACACAGTGTGGGATCCAAGCACCTTGCTGGAACACATCCCTATTTGCTGATGCATTTCCTCTAATTTGCTGTGGAATTTTAGCTTCCTGTGAGAGGTTGAGATCGTTGTCACTCGCATTTCATCCCGCTTGTCCATTTGGTCTATAAGTGAAAGCACACTTCCACTTACATGAGCAGACCGGCACAGGGGACGGGCACAGCTTTGAAATTTGGGAGAGACTTGAAATCAAAAGACTGTTGAACTCCTAAGTTCCTAAACTCGTTGGGCCCACAGCCTCATGTTCAGGGATGGGGGGAATTACTCTGGCCATTAAAAACGTTTTCACGGTAGACCATAATCCAGGATAAAGCATAGGAATCTGCTTTTTCAGCCACCCTTGATTGTTCCAGCGTGCCCTTTGCCCCTGCAGGCAGTATCAGCCTGGTTTAACTGAATGCATTTCACAGAGGGAGGAATCTGAGGATGCCCTGCTGAGAGGACAAAGGACATGCTCCTTTCCTGAGCGGAGAAGAGAGATACAGGACTTGCCACATTGCTGTCCCCTAGGATGTGCCCATAGAGTTAAAACGTCTTTTAACATCTCATGCGTAAACACTGCTGCAACAATAATATCGTGCTTATGGGTGCCCTGAAAGCATTTCTGATGTTATTGTTTCAAGTAACTTATCTTTTCCCTTTGGGAATTAAGGAGTATATTTCTTGAACCATTGAGGTTTCACCATCACCTTAGACGGAGAAAGAATGCTCATGTGGTCCACCTGGACTGGGAGAAACTGTACAAGGCAAGCCTGTTCCAGGTCGGTAGTGCTCTGTACCGTCAGCTTCCACCAGAGCCCCTCACACTGCCGCCCAGGCCAAGAAGCTTCCCCTTGGAGACCACATCCTCCTCCTCTCACTCCACAACGCTGGCTTTCACTTCCTCCCACATAACTGTGCTCTTTCCTTACACCACTCTCCCCTCTGCCGGGAAGCTCCTCTGCTCTGTTCTTCCTCTGGCCAGCTCCTCCACCCTTCAGATCCCTTATTCATGCCACTTCCCCAGGGACATCTTTGCTGAACCTTCAAGCTGATACCTTTCTGGTCTCATACCCGTGCTTTGCGTTTATAGATTATTCATTCACTGCCATCGGCCATTCTGACTCATAGGGACCCTGCCGCCAATACGAGGATCTATAGTCTAGATTCTATATGGTTGTCAGGCCTGTATTTTTAACATCCAGGTCTCCTCCTGGACTCTGACTTAGTTTGCTGTGCACTCTCTCCTTAGCACAAGCCATGCACACCGTCTGTGTTCAATTTGTGTTGCCTGAATAAATAGACTGATATGAAGACAAAATATAAAAAGTTATAGAGTTATGCATGTTACTTTTCTTCCATCTGGATCAGCAACTACTAAAAATCATAGTCTTTAGAGGAATTATATTAACAACCTATTAAATAGTCGTTTCTTTATAATAGCCAAGTAATTAATATACAATGTTTAATGCATATTTGTTTTAATGTATATTAATAATTGCATTAGAAATAAATGTATATTCACAATTACAAAAGGTAGAAGACCATTTTCTGAACATAAATACCCATGAGTTTGAAATTTATGATTTAATTCAATGAAAAATTCTGTAGGTCTTTTGTCTAGCGTTCACTGTCTAACATTAAAGTTAAAAAAACAAACAAGCAGTCCTTTCATTTTAGAGGAAATGCACGGAGCGAACTGGATCCAATAGAATTCGATTTCATACAACTAATCAGACATTCCATTCCTGTCTGACAAATCACACCAAGCACGCTTGCTTCCAGTGATGCCATGAAGCTTCTCGGTTCTGTTTTCTAAGCTCTTTGAACTTGTTCAAAAACGTATCTCTAAAGCTGGAAGGTCATTGGAAGTCATGTAAGGCCTCTTTCCCGGTGTACAAGTGAAACGGACTGGACGAGGTCTATGGCTTGGCTCTGGGGCGCGCAGACCCACCCAGTGTTTGTGGAGCAAAAAGCACACCTGAAACCATAAAGCCCAGTGACGTCCTAGCTCTGTTTCACCGTGTAGGAATGTTAGGTGTGCAAACATCTGATAATTATTGTATGCCATGTCCAGTGTAAAGAGTGGTTTCGGGAATCAAGGAAGGATGAAGAGAGCACTATTGTTCAGCGCAGGACTAATCTCTCTCCTGAAGCTGACTCCACTCGGTGGCGGTGGAGGGCTCAGGGAGCTGGCTGAGCCTGGCTCCAGCAGGCCTAAGGCTTTGGCACTGGACAGCAAATAAAAACAGAAAAGCAATTTGGCTACTGTGGTGATTGATTACAATAGCAATTAAAGAAGTAGAGAAATGATTCTTCATTCATAAGCACACAGTGGTGCTGCATTTGGTCTCAGCGGGGAAAAATAAGAATACCAAGCAGAGCTTTATGCCAAAGATTTATAGGCAACACAGTGGTTTGGACTCCTCCTTTGGCAATGCATGCCACATTTTCTTGTAAATCAAATCTGCACAATAACATTCCACCTACTAAAGACAGAGCAAGAGCCTAACACTGTATGTATTTACCATGCACTCAAGTGTGCTAGGGACATTTTACATGTCTTAATTCATTTAATACTCACAACAGCCCAATGAAATAGTTACTACCATAATCTCATTTTAGAGATAAGGAAATGGGCCCAGAGAAATCAATCACTTTCCTATTAAAAACCAGGTGCATTGTAAAAAGAGTTCATTTCGTGGTTCTGCACAAAATATTAAGTCTTGAATTCCTATCATACAAGGTATTGTATTCTGTACTAAATAAAAGACAGAAACAACTAGTAAGAAATATATATATATTTAACTTAGCATTTCTATTATATTATTCTGACTAGCCTTCTTTGATTGTTGATAGTTTGGTTTTAAATTGGCTTCCTGAACTCAGATGTGTACCAACCAATCATTTCCAATAAGCCAAAACCCATTGCGGGTCAAGGCGATTCTGGCTCATAACAATCCTCTAGGTTAGAGTCGAACTGCTCCTGAGAGGCCCCAGAGCTGTAATCTTTGCTCAGCGCTGTCGAGCACATCTTTCTCTCTTGGGGCAGCTGATATATTTGAATCACTGGCCTTTCAGCAGCTGAATGCTTATCAGAGTGCAGTATGGGGGCTCCCTAAGTGTCTACAGGACTGATGGGAAATTGAACAAAGTTATAGATAATTCTAATAGCTCAGGTTCTAGAATGCATGTGAGGCTGGAAGGTGAGTGTTGGGTCCAAATAAGGGTCCACGAGGTGGAGGGAGTCAGAAAAGGCCAACAGGCAGAGTGTGCCGTGGAGGTGTCAATGTCTGATGGAGACGTCTCAGGCTGAGGCAAAAGTGAACAGAAAAATGCCGTTTCAAGGAGTGCTAAGCCCAGCTTGATTCAAGGCACCTAGATGAGAGAGGAAAGAAAGGTGATCCAACAGAATGAGAAAATTAAAGAACAATGTCATTATTACCACAGGCAAATACAATTTGGCTGAAGGTCATCCGATAACAGTTGCAGCAGTCCGTTGACAGGGAGCTTCCAGAGGGTCAGGCTGGAGTCAGATGAGAACAGGGAATAAGGGCTGTCATTGCTGACGTCAGATGGACCTTGACTGAAAGCAGAGACTACCAGAAAGATGTTTACTTGTGTACTATTGAATATGCCAAGGCATTTGACTGGGTGGATCAGAGCAAACTATGGAAAGCCTTGAGAATAATAGAAATTCCAGAACACTTCACTGTGCTCATGTGGAACTTGTACATGGATCAAGAGGCAACCATGTAAACAGAACAAGGGAATAGTGCATGGTTTCATACTCAAAAAAGGTATGCGTCAGGGTTGTAAACTCGCACCATACTTATCCAATATGTATAAAAACACTCAATGCCACTGAGTCAATGCTGCAGAACTTCCCCTGTGGGTTTCCGAGACTGTCACTCTTTATGGGAATAGAAATCCCTGTGTTTCTCCCATGAAGTGGCTGGTGGTTTCAAACTGCTGACCTTATGGTTAGCAGCCCAACACATAACCACGATGCCACCAGGGCTCCTCTGTATGCTGAGCAACTAGTCAAAGAGGCTAGATTGTATGAAGAAGATATGGCATCAGGATTGGAAGGTTTAATAACAACCTGGAAGATCCAGATGACACACATTTATATGTGGTGAGGAGGACCTGAGATGCTTGACATGCTAACGAAGATGAAGGCTTGCAGCCTTACAGTTCAATGTAAAAAGAAAGCCAAAATCCGCACAACTGGACCGATAGGTATGATCAGGATAAACTGAGAAAAGATTAAAGTTGTCAAGGATTTCATCTCGCTTGGATCCACAATCTGTGCTCATGGAAGCAGCAGGCAAGAGATCAAATGATGTGTTGCATTGGGTAGATCTGCAACAAAAGACCTCCTTAAAGTGTTGAAAAGCAAGGAGGTTACTTTGAGGATGAAAGGGCATCTGACACAAGCCAGGGTATTTTTAAATGCTTCATATGCATGTGAAAATTGGACATTGGATAAGGAAGACTGAGATGAATCGGTACACTTGAAATGCAGTGCTAGTGAAGAATATTGCCATGGAATGCCAACACAAAACCAAACCAAATTCACTGCCATGAGTCAATTCTGACTCATGGTAACCCTGCAGGACAGGGTAGAGCTGCCCCTGTGAGTTCCTGAGACTGTAAATCTTTATGGGAATATAAAGCCTCCTCTTTCATCAGTGGCACCACAGGTAGTTTAGAACTGCTAACCTCGTGGTTAGCAGCCCAACACGTAACCATCACACCAACAGGGCTCCTAGTGGAGTGCCAAAAGTACAACTATATTGGTCTTGGAAGAAGTACAGCCAGAACACTCCTTAGAAGCAAAGATGGCTAGACTTCTTCTGTCCTCGGGATGTGTTATCAGGAGAGACCGCAAAAGAGATGCAGGGCCTCAACAAGAATGATTGACACGGTGGTTGCAAAATGAGCTCAAATACAAACAATTGTGAGGCTGGCGCAAGGCCAGGAGGTGTTTCCTTCTGTTGTATATGGGGTTGTTATGAATCAGAATGAACTCGATGGCACCTAACAACAACAACAACAACAACAGGTAAGAGAGTAGTGGGTCACTTGGGAAATGCTGGCTTGAGATCTCATTGCCAAGTGGGAGAATCTGGACTTTATACTGTGAAGAAGGTGGTGTATTCTAGAAGGTTTTTGACAGGGAACATTACAAAACTCTACACTTGCTTTGATCATTTAAATTTGTGTACAGGATATGGTAGCTCCAATCTCCTGGCAACCCCATGCACCAGAAGACTACCTGGTCCTGAGCCATCTGGTGATATGCTACCGATCAGACCATTGTGATTGATAGGGTTTTCACTGACTGACTCTTGGAAGTAAATGTTCAGCTCTAGCTCCCTAATCTGTCTTAGCCTGGAAGGTCCATTGAAACGTGTTCCACATCATAGCAACACCCTTCCCTGACTGACAGGTGGTGCACTGGCCCCAAACTGAACCCATGTTTCCTATATATACGCAAGCGATTAATAATTGACCGCAGTATGAAATCTAATGTGAGCTACTGCATCTCTAATTTCATTGTTCAGAGCTGCGGATAGCTATTTTGGCCTTCTCTGCTATTCCTCATGGAAGAAGATGGAAGTCGCCTCTGTCATGGAAAGTCACGTGTCGACACGGTATTTGAGGATCATAAAGAAGGTCTCATAGCAAGCACAGGTAGGACTCATTCTTTATTAAGAAGAGCTGGTCGGCTTACAAATTGTTATACAAGTTAAAATGATGCACTTTCAAATATTCGTCGATTGTTTGTTTATTTTAATGAGTTGAGTCTAAGTCTTGGTGTTCACATTACCTACATTCATGGGGCTGACCATAGACTTCACTACTCCTTACCTGCCCATACAGGTAAGTAGAGAAAACTGAAAGTGGTTTCACCATGAAATATACACAATACCCCATCTATCAGGCAGTACACTCTCTATGACTGCGTTCTAGCTACAGGAGAGAAGATATTTTTTTAAAAGAACAACAATAGAAGATTTAAAAGAAACCTGTAAGAACTTGCCAAAACCATTGACACCTTGTGATTCAACAGCTGAAGACGGAAATCATTCAGAGCAATGGGGAAGCTCCTTGGTCAAAACTCCTGTTTCATGTCTCTGAGAACGAACACTCAATTGACCCACAGAGCCCCCTGATGGCGCCATGTCAGACAGAGCTCCTGAGGGACTATATACCCTTGCAAGGTCAGGAAGATAGGAGGGAACAAAAGGTAGAAAAGTAATAAAAATAGCTCTCTGTTTTATTCTGTAAAGAACGAAGTTCAGGACCAGAAAATTTCATTTCAAATTCCATTAAAAGGTTAGGAAAATGAAAGCATCTCTTGGTTTAGTGTCAGAATTATGGATTTGCCCTTGTTCTTAGAATTAGATTAAAATGAGCCATGCGGTTCATTCCCTCACTCTTCAACATTTCTACATAGCCTCGTGTGATCTCCTCCGGATACTTGGATACTTGTATTCCCAGTGAGTCTTTGTCTTTAAGTCATCTGACAACCCTCCCCTCTTCTTTTTTTCCTTTCTGAAAAACAATACTGTTTTTAAAACCCCAATCAAGAGTAAGCTGCTGGCCACATGGTCAAGTCCAGGCAAAGGAATCCAAAATATCAGCCTGGCAATTAAGATATGTAGTGCCCCATTCACCAAAAGGAGCAAATGTGCCGGAAGGGTTGCCCATAGAGAAACACAAGCTTTCTTTCTCAAGTGAGATTTGTAGTCACTCTACCTGGAGATGCTCTTGGCATGTTGATTTGGGGTTAAACCTAGAGCACTGTTCAAAAGGGCCATCGTAGTGAGATACAGTCCATACTTATTGTAAAGGCAAGAAAGGGACCCTTAAAACAGTGAGTCTGCCCATAGCAAGGAAAGAAAGGCTCAGAGGAAATGTGCCACATGCCTTCCAGCTTGTGTCCCAGGAAGCAGATTCCTTGGTTTCCATTGGAGTCATTTCAAATCGGGACCCATGGCTCCTTTTCACAGACACGAGAAGCCCTCTTGCACAATGACACAGGGACACTGAGACTAAGGCGAGGAGAGATCCCTTTTTGTGACTCAAATCCAAGAGTGACATTTAGCAAAAAATAGCTGCAGATTAATCTGACATGGTTCATCCTACCCAAAGAACAAAAAACAATCATGACACTTGCGATTTTCAATTCCACTACTTCATGCTCCCCAGTATTTGTTGTTTCAGCAGCATCTTTTATGTCTTGGGAAGCATTTCTCAACCTGCTGTGATTGCTAACATTGAGCTCAGACCACTGAAGCAGGAAAAGAAAAAAGGAGAGGGAGGGAGGCAGAAAGGCAGTGAAAACAAAGCCACTGCGCCGTGGCAGAGAACCCTGCTCTCTGCCAGGAGAAAAGCTATCACAACGATTAGTATTTTAATGTGGTGTGTCTCAGAGGATTTCAAATTCTTGAAGGCAATTTTTCAGCACCTTCCCCTCTTTTCCCTTTTTAAAAATGTTTCTCCCTATTAAAAGACTAAAGCATGGCGCGGTGATAGGGGGAGACGGAAGCACACCCTAAATGAGTTCCCCGAGAAATGTGAATTTACTGGGTAGAAAACCCATTGTTTCCAGGGAGCGCCCACTCAGAATGACCCCGCCGGACAGTCAGTGTCCTAGAGAGTTGCCACGGCTGTACATCTCCATGGCAATGGCCTGCCACATCTATCTCCATGGAGTGGTTGGTGGGCTCAAATCCCTGACCTTTGTGTTTGCAGCCACATGCTGAACCACTGCTCCACCAGGGCTCTGCCTTGCGTCCAAGTGTCACATTGAGGTCGAATGTCACTTAGCCACGTTTGGTGGTTGCTGCTACTGCTGACTCACCTGTGGGATCACCCCAAAGGCTTTCCTCCACTGCTGCAAAGTGATTGAGTCCCAGGACACCCCATCAATCTGGATTTCTCCGGTGGTGTTCAGCAGCCTCAGGAAAGCCAATAACAGTGTGCTTTTCCCTGATCCAGTTCTTCCCAACAGGCCCACCTGTAAGAGAAAGTGGTGGAATTACTGCTGTCACACACAGGGACCAGGCCACCAGTGCATTCGGTATTGCACATCAGTAGAATGGTTTTTTCCAGCCACAAAGAGAAGGTTTTCACTTATTGACCCAAGTGAATGAGCCCTCTCATATGTTTCCAATATTCCAGGGCAGAGTAACCCTGGAACAGAGTCCAGAAACTGGCCACAAGGAAGTGGACCCATGATGCTGGCTACATTCATCTCCAACCTGTATGGATGATTAAAGACCAGTTGAAAGTGTCCAGTTTGTATTAAGGAAAAGCAAATATGCAGCAGTCGTTATGCAAACCATTTCTAAGAATGGGTTTAACCAGAAATGAACAGCTCACTCTACCTCCAAACATGGATATGAACTTGAAAAGTAGACCTCATATTAAGATATAATCCTTAATTAAGCAAGAGTCCAATTAGTAAGAGCTAAGTTTAAACAACAACAACAACCAGTTGCCGTTGGGTGGGCTCTGACTCCTGACGGTGCTGGGTGTTGTAGGAGAGAACTGCA